ATATATATTACCAGAGTGGACGAAGACATGTACCCTTATATCTATATTAAAAAGCGTACTTTATTCGAAAATTACTATTTCTACTACACGGAAAAAAAATTTATGTGAAATTAAAAATCAATAATTTTGTATTATGACTGTTTGCCTTAACGCTTAACTGTGTATTATACATACATCTATCCCTATTTTTCTGTGTTTACAGTTCAATATATGCTATTTATGGATTAGAAATTTTTATTTTAAGGTTTTATATAATGATATAATATTATAAAAAAAAATATTATACATATAATTGAATTATTTTTAAATAATACAGAGTATAACTTAAAAAAATTATATCCTGTGTAAATTAATATATATATGTTACAAAGATCATTATATACTAATCTTAAGCACACATACATAATAATTATTTGTTTTTGTACTATGTGAATTTATATTAAGAACATTTGAGCAACATAATTTTCATATACATATATAGTTATTAAGCATAAAAATACTATTATAAATTATATTATAGGATTATTCTAAATATAAATGTCTAATAAACTATTAGGAACTATTACAAAATATAAACGTATATAATATTATACTTACATGCAGTTTATGCACTATTAATTCTATAGGTAATCTAATTATTTTTTTAGTTCCTAATTAATGAATAAATGACGTATCAATTCCTCTATATTCGTATTTTATTGATTTTTTTGCTAAATATAAATGCATATATAGTCAATTTTCAATGCTATAAACGTGTATATTATAAGAAGATTAATTATATGCTGTATTCATAATGAGAGTTTTATATTTCTTTTAAGAATATATAATATTATGTATTTATAATTAGAGTGCATATATTCATATATAAAATATTATCCAATGTATTCTTCATATTTTCAATATCATCGAAATTTAATAATATAATAGCTCGATAATAAATTAATATAAACGTTAACTTATTTTTTTAAAAAATATAATAAATTTTTTTATTAGACTATATTCAGCAATGGTTATATGAATATTTTTTTTATAGTTATTATATAAAAAAGATATTATAATGTATTCTTAAGCATATATTATTATATTCTATTCAGGTTGTATTATATATGTAATATGTGGTCTTTTGTTAATGTAAAAAGAACATACATATAATAATGACACCTAACATTTTCCATTTTATCTGGTGTATTTTGTAAATATAATTACATGCTGATTGATAAATTAATAATATCTCTAGAATTATATTATTCTAGATACAATGTTTTTATGTTTTAATTATTCCAAAAATCATTTAATGGTACAACATATAAGTAAAATTTAATCACAATATATATAATATAATTTATAGAATCACAGATTGAATATAATATTATTCATTACCAATAATAATATATATAACAATGATACATATAATTATAAAATTGTAAGCATATCATTACAAATAACCATGTTATGTAAAGAATTAATAAATAAAAAAATATATATAATTTATCATTATACATAATATCAGTTATTCTAAAATAAAAAAATAAATAAAATAATAAAATAACAAAAGGAATATAACAATGAAACGTATATATATATTATAAAATTCATAATTAAAAAAAATAACAAAAATATATAAAATAAAATCTCAAACAAAAATGTATAAATATAAAAAACAAAAAAAATTAAATATAAATAAAAAATAAACACTAATACACCCTCAAACACTGAACCCTAAACCTACATCTGATCCCTAAAACTAAAACCTAACCCTGTGACCCTGAACTCTGATCCTAAATCTTAAATACTATTATGTTTTACTAGAAATAACGTTAATAATATAAATCTGAAAACACATTTGTATCTATTTTTATAATAAATTCCATATATATATATAAATGCATATAATATATATTATATAAAGGAATATATTAATACATTAAAAATAAATAATGAATAATTGTTTAAAATTGATGACGATAGAGAAATGGCAGCTCTTATAAGATTAAGTATTTATTTTATATTATAATATAATTAAATTACAGAAATAATAAAATAACATATACAATAGCATAAATTTAAGCAAAACAAGATTATAAAAATATGGACAATTAATAAAGCAAATTATTCAAGTATTATAAATTATTATAAAAATAGTATATTTAAAATATATATATAAGCAAGAATTAATATAAATAAGTATAAATAAAAATATGTAATAATTCTATATATTCCATTATTATAAATAAATACTAATATATCTAATATTATAATAAGAACACAATATTACATTAGAAAATCTATATACAATTTAATAAAAGTTATATATAATATATATATAATAATATAATATATTATAATAACATACATAAATTTATACAAAATAATAAAATAAAAACTCAGAACCATCAATCTAAATCCTCTTATTAAACTGTAAACGATAAATCTATTTTCCATAACCTGAAAAATAATCTATAATATAAATCCTAAAACTATGATATAAAAAAATATTATATTAAATAATACATATGTACAAAACAATAATTTTTCATACTAAATAATTACATAATAGTGCACATATATATTTATTATTTTATTTATACAAACTATGAAATATATAAATATAAAATAAATCAATATTTATAGAGTTCGCTTAATTAAAAATCCAATTAAAACTAATTAGATATTATAAAGCGCTCTAAAATATTGACACTAAATGATAGGCTTAATGAAATAATTCCATTTACCTTATTTTACATTTATATTGTAATATCATAAATCAAATTTTAATAATCTACGGATTGATTAATATGTGTATAAATATAGTGAAACTATATATCTTAAAAAAAATTGTATTATATAGAAACTTATAATATTTAATATATTTTGTAATTTAAATAACATCAACTGTTACATTGATAACATAAAAAATTCTGTTATAAGCTAATTATAACTAATTCATTTGTTAAATAATTCAAATAATGCATAATGCCTGAAACTCTCAGTTATGAAAGCGTAATTTTATATTAGTAAAAATATAGATAAAATTTAATCTATGTATTCATTTAAATACATTTTCTTTGGTAAATTAATAATTTTATATATTATTAAAAATTTTATTTTAATATATTTTAAAACATACAATTTTAACTTATAGATTAATTTTGAAGGAATATTCCCCCAATGTAGAGATGATTACAATAGCCTTCTAGATCCTTGGTGTAATTCAAGTAGCATGAAAACTGAACTTCTTATTCTCTGTAATGATTTTATTATGCATCATTTGCAAGATAAAACAAAAGTTAACTTTATATTACAAAACAGTTGTAGGGGTCTTGGTTTTTATTTATGCCATATAAAAAATAAAAGTGGACCTCGGGATAATTATAAAAATGCAGCTTGTAAATATTTCAGTTACAAGTTACAAAGCATGTTAAAGAATTATGAATTTAAAGACAATGACGCAAAAACAGGTTACAATAATTTGAAACAATATTGGGTCAAGCTTAATACAAATGATAAAAGTTTTCTTGATATATGTAATAATGATGTTCATAATCTTGAATCCAGCACATTTGATATATTTAAGTATTTTGATCAACTATATTTTCTTTTACCATTAATAATTAAGCATAATAATTGCTCAGAATATGCAACAATATTTAAAACTTATGTGAATTATTTAAAAGTATATGTATTCAAGAACAATAGTATACGTACTTTGCTAAATTTTTTAATAAGGGACTATAATGGAAAAATTCAGAAAAGTACATTATGTGCTAATGATCTATCACTGGATGAAATATCTGTTCCTGAAACATCTATGCCTGAAACATCTATTCCTGAAACATCTATTCCTGAAACATCTATTCCTGAAACATCTATACCTGAAGTATCTGTACCCAAAACATCTTCGAAAAGAAATGAGATAATAGATAACATGGTGATACAAGCAATCCAAATAAAACAATCAAGCTTATCAATAGGAAAATGCGTGGGAATTTTTGTTTTCTCTTCAGCAATCTTAATAATGACATTCATTATATATAAGGTTATATATATTGCTTTAATTTAGATAATATATGTTATAATATTATTCATTTTACACATTATCTTATAACAATTATATAAAATTAGTAATATACTTGTAAAATTATATTATTTTCCTCTCTTTATCAGTATACGCGCAATGCTTCATTTATACGGAAAAGAGTCAAGAAATTAAGGAAAATGTTCAATATAAAAATTGAAAACCATAACGATGTAATGGGCTCATCTGAAGAAACATATAAAAATAGAATTCATAAGCACTATAAAATAGCTTATGTTTAAGTATAACAATCCTACTAAGCACATAATATTAGTGAATGAATTAAGCATTAATATATAAAATAAAATTCTAAGACATTCCTTTTATTATTCTTGTAGGTTTCAGGGTTTACCTTCAGGGTTTAGAGTTTAGGTTTAATGTTTAAGGAGCATTAGATTTTTATATAAATTATATCTATATTTATGAATATGATTATGGCAATTATAACACTATTAATTTTGCTATGTGATAAATTTTAGTTTTAAAAAATGTTCAACATAATTAGATACCTGCAGTGATGAAATGCGTGAAAATTGCAAGCACAGTGGAATTAATAGGCGTTATCACAGCGTAATAGAAATTTTGCAAAATGGGTTGAAGAATAAATAAATGGTATCGGATAGACTATATCCAATTTAGCACATGTGACAATTTATACGTAAATCTAATGAACAAAAAGAAGAAATATAATTATTTTTAAGTTAATATATATATTTACTGGAATATATTGCCCTATTAGTTATATTATTTTTTCTTTTTTATAACGTAATCACTGAAAACTTATGAATTTATAACAAATGTACATATTCTAAGAATAACTATGTGTTATACTTAATAACCATGCAATAAAGTTATATTTTATTGGGTAAAATATTTTTATTTATATTATTTTATATTTTTTATTT